AAAATTAGTTGGGCGTGGTGGCGCACACCTGTAGTCCCAGCTACTTGGGAGGCTGAAGCAGGAGAATCGCTTGAACTTGGGAAGCAGAGGTCTCAGCGAGCTGAGATGGCTCCACTGCACTCCAGCCTGGGTGACAGAGCGAGACTGTCTCAAAAAAAAAAAAAAAAAAGAAAAAGAAAATAAGTTTATAGTATAAGGAAGTGGTTCTCAACTGGTGATGATTTTGACACTTAATTGACATTTGGCAGTGTCTGGCGATATTTTTGGTTGTCATTACTCGGGAGGAATGTACTGCTGACGTCTAGTAAGTAGAGACCAGAGATTTTGCTAAATGTCTTACAGTGTACGGTACAGGACAGCATCCCCTGAATACAAAGAATTTTCCAGCCCCAAGTACCAGTGATACAAAGGTGGAAGAACATCGGTCTATAATAAGTGCCTGATACATGTCAGTGTAGCCCTAGCTCAAGGTTTTGGTGTGTGTTGTTTGTCTTTCATCTTAAACGCCCTGAGAAGTCCTGTAGGAAAGAAACACGTGTGATTTTGCTGGTGGGAGCAAGCTGTGCCCAGGGCTGGGGCGGTAGAGAGGAGGGTTTGGATTTGGGAGATGTCAGGAGGTTGAAAGCCAAGGATGCATTAAATGTGGGGTGAGGGCGTAAAGAAAGGGAGGGAAGGTGATTTCTCACTGCCTTGGGGGCAGGGAGGAGGGGAGGTGTGGGTGAGATGTTGAGAGTTGTGGGAGATGCCCAGGGCACAGTGAGGGGCTCATGGTTGGGGCTGCCGCAGTTGCAGTCCTCAGGTGGCCCTGGAAGCTGTCACGGGGTAGGGTGGCCTGGGGTGGGGGTGGGGCACGTCCATTTACAAGGAGACGCCTGTGGGAGGAAGGTTTCTGAAAGAAGGAGGTGCTGGGCACAGAGCCCAGGCGAGATATGGGCCCACAGATACGCTTCGGAGGTCCCTGCTGGCCTTGGGGAGGCTGGAAGCCATGAGGGCAGCACAGAGCTCAGGGAAATTGAGGGAGAGTTGGAGCGGGGCTGGGAGGGCAGGGAGGAAGTGAGCCTGAAATACCTCTTCTTTCAAGGAGCCAAGATAGGAGGGGCAAAAAGATGGCCCAAGTCTGTATGCAGGTGGCGCGTTAAGTGGGACGGTCCAGTGTGGTTTTAGAAGGTGGGAAAGGAGCCAGGACAGGGAGGGACGGAAGGCAGCTAAGAGTGCCTGGGTCCTCACGGGTGGAGGAGTCACGTTCAAGTATGTGCTGGGCCAGGCATGGTGGCTCAAGCCTGTAATCCCAGCACTTTGGGAGGCCGAGACAGGCAGATCACGAGGTCAGGAGATCGAGACCATCCTGGCTAACACGGTGAAACCCCGTCTCTACTAAAACATACAAAAAACTAGCTGGGCAAGG